CCCAGGCGGGTCTCGAACCCGCGGGCTTAGGCTATCCACTCACCTCAGCCTCCCAAAGGCACGGGATTACAGGCTGAGCCACCGAGCCTGGCTGATTTTTGATTTCTTGTAGAGATAAGGTCTCACTGCCCAGGCAGTGATTACAGGCTGAGCCATGGAGCCCGGCTGTTGAATCCTTTTAAAACTTTTCCTTTGATAGGGAAAGGTTGTTAAGATGATTGGGTGATGGTCTGCTCCATATCATCAAGAAGGGCAAATATGCACAGGTACTGATGTCAGGTGATGGATGACAGGCAGATGGATGGACCAGTCGCTTGACTGCTGCCATGATGATGGGGTCTGTGTCATGAAGTGTCCTGAAGGGCTGATTAGGCTGTTTACAAAACATGTAGGGGAGGGGCTTATAAAGCAATTATCTATAGCTACCTCTGAGAAACCTGTTCTATCCTTGGCTAGTGGATTAGAGGGTAAATTAAAGTGAACTGCTAGATAAACATGACAACTAGGCAGTGTTAAAATGGCTGCTTTTTGGCTATAGTAACTCCATGTTATGTCCTTTCAGTTGATTACTGTAGTATATGTTCACTGAAGAAATTTTGGAAAAAGTATAAGGAAAAAAATAATATTAAATACTTATTTTTCTTTTTTGAGTTAGAGTCTTACTCTGTCGCCCAGATGGAGTGCAGTGGCCGCTCCCGGCCACTGCAGCCTCGACCTGCTGGGCTCCAGCGATCCTTCCGCCTTAGCCTTCCGAGTAGCCAGAATTACAGGCATGTGCTACCACGCCTGGCTGATTTTTTGATTTATTGTAGAGATGAGGTCTCGCTGCCCAGGCGGGTCTCGAACCCGCGGGCTCAGGCAATCCACTCACCTCAGCCTCCCAAAGGCGCGGGATTATAGGCTGAGCCACTGAGCCCGGCTTGTAGTAGTTTTTTAAAATTAAATAAGTTGTACTAAATTGCCTGTGTGTTTACTTCCAGAATCTCACTGGATCCTCCTTTCTGCTGACAGTGAGGGCTTCATCCCATTAACCTTCACAGCCACACAGGAAATACGCATAAGAGATGGCAGCCTGTCCAGGTCACTTGTTTTCAGAGACTCTTCTTCTCTGTCTGGATCCTGTTCCTCCTCTTAAATTCTTTGCAGGCCTTACTGCCCCAAATTCTGATACCACTGGCTGTTGCAACCGTTTTAACAGTTCGGCTTGGTATCCGCAGAGTACTGACTGTGCAGCTCTTCAGATGAGATTATTACAAACAAGGTCTGTTTTCCACTGTAGACTCTCCCGGTGAGATTCGCACTGTGCTCAGGCAAAACACTTGGCACGGTTGTCTCTGCCACTTTCCTTTTCCCCTGGGCTGAAGCTTGCTGCTCTGACTTTTTTCGATGGCTCAGAAAATGGTTGTTTATGTCTTCATGACTGTGTGGTTTTGTCTGAGGGCAGCATTCTCAGAACAGACAATAATACGGTGCCATATGGATTGTGCTTATGGTGTCTCTGAGGCTTTGCGGCCCAGGACCAGGGCTGTGGGGAAGCTGTCACAGGGCTCTTAAGAGGCACCTTGGTATTGTTACGGGGCTTTTTCTCTGCTGAAAGAGGAGAACGAGGAGTGCTGCTGGAGAGTATGTGCTCCAGCGTGTCCGTTCACCTCAAACCAGCAGGAACCAGCAGGGCTCAAAGGAAGACAGGAAGCTGGCAGCCTTTTGCTCCCAGGGCTGCCTGGAACAGGAAGTCGCTCTGGTGTTGTCTGGACCTCCCAGGATTTGAACCTAAGCCTCTTGCTTCCTTAAACAATTCTGGTTGACAAAGGTTCAGATTCTCTTAAAAACTGGCCCTGGCAAATTTTGAATGAAATTTCAGGTGAACTTGTCCCTGCTGGCTCCACTTGAGGTTGTGCTAATGCTGCTGGTAAACTGCCAAGCCCAGACGAGTCCTGATGCAAGGTTGTCTATGTGTTGCTACTCGAGTTTCCCTCACATGTTTTTTGTTTTCCCCAGTTTGGAGATCATAAAAATTTCCTGTTTTTCTCCCATTAGTCAACTCCCTTAGTTGACCTGTTGCTTTAACTTTGATATTTTTCTTTTCCCTCCTTTCAAGTCTTAGAGACCAGCATAGAATCTGAGAAAGTGTTATAGAAAGTTGGAAATTTCACTGAACCTGAGGTCGTCCTAAAAAGTACCCCTTTATTATATTTATGGGTTAAAATACCAGCTTAGTATGGTGGCAAGGGCCTTGATTCCCTTTTGATGGACACACCCCTTCTCACTGTCACAGCCTTCAGTTGCTGCAGCGTAACAAATGGATCAGTGGCTGACTATACAGGGCACATCTGCAGATAAGTTGCTTCAGCCATAGAATCTCCATTAGCACATACGCTTCCTCCCCCACTTCCTTTAAAATCATCTGGAAAGAACATATTTTGTGCCCCTGGGGATTCCTGCCTGTTACAGTTTACAAAGATGGAGCTGAGCTAGGAAGCCGTGAGGGCCTGTGTTGTGGTTTCGATGCATTAGACAGCTGGGTATAATGAAGTGGAGGCCAGCGTCTAGTCAGCTGTGGGAGAGGGTGGCTGGGGACAGGCTGGGCCTGGCTCCATCTGTAAAGGAAGTGTCTGGGGTGTGATGAAATCACAGCTATCTTGAAGTCTAAAAAGGAGACGAGGGGACCCTCAAGTAAGACCAATGTGGATGCTTAAAGATGTGTGCTACAGTCACCATTTCTCAGGTCAGAATACTGTAAGTCTTCAATAAAATGACCGATGCTTAATGTGGCTGTTTTGGATGATTGGATAGTATTTTCTTTATGATTATTGCTGGTGTGGGAAATGTTCTTGATTTTATGTGTATATGGTGTCTTTGTATTTCTTTTTCTGGTGGACCGACCAGAGTATAAATGGTTTCTTTACAGCAAATTGGATTCCATGACAACTCTCATACAAGAGCTGTTTCCTTGGCCTCTGCTATTGTTATAGTCACTGGAACAAAAGAAAATAATTCAATATGTGCTGGCATTGGAGACAGAAAGACAAGAGCTAAGTTCTTCAAATTATTGCTTAGTGTTTTATTGGAAATATTTTGTATAAAGACATATATTCTACAATAAATAAAAAATTAGCAGGGCATGGTAGCGCACGTGTAGTTCCAGCTACTTGGAAGGCTGAGGTGAAGGGATCGCCAGAGCCCAGCAGGTTGAGGCTGTGGTGGCCGGGAGCATGCCACTGCCCTCCAGCCTGGGCGACAGAGTGAGACTCCAACTCAAAAAAGTATATATATATTGTTTACAAATCCCATTCTACATCCAAGTTTTCCTAAATTTTGAATGGGTCTTATTTGTTACTACAGACAGATACACACACACACACACACACACACACACACACACACGGTATAGGAAGGCCTCATAATACATTTGTTACTACAGACAGATACACACACACACACACACACACACACACACACACACACGGTATAGGAAGGCCTCATAATACATTTGTTACTACAGACAGATACACACACACACACACACACACACACACACACACACACATTTGTTACTACAGACAGATACACACACACACACACGGTATAGGAAGGCCTCATAATACAATGCACCACCCACCACTTAACCTAGGAACCAGACATTACCAGAAGCCATTCAAACTCCCTTGTGTCCTTCCTTGTTCCCATCTCCATAGCTTTGCCCCAGAGGTCTGTCTTGTCTGTTGTGACTATCATTTCTTCATTCCTTTTCTTTCTTTATAAAAAGGATTTTCACAACCACATATACACATTGGCCAGAACAATGTACTTTTTTTTTGGTTTTTTTTGAGCTTTATACAAATAGGTTTATATAGGTATTTCACTATGATCTTGATTTTCCTGTGACTTGCTTTATTTACTCAGCATTTTTCCCAAGATTCATCCTTATGTGCATATGATATTACTTTCACTGTTTTGAATTGCCACAACTTACCCATTTCCCTGCCACCCACACTTGAATTGTTTCCTGGTTGTATTTTTGAAGCTATAAACAATATTGCCTTTAATATTCTTGTCTTCTGATCCAAGTGTTTGAAAAGGCTGTCTTTGGGAGGCCGAGGCGAGAGGATTGCCTGAGCCCAGGGGTTCGAGACCAGCCTGGGAAACTTGGTGAGACCTCATCTCTACAATAAATTAAAAAATTAACTGGGGGGTGATAGCATGCACCTGTAATTCCAGCTATTTGGAAGGCTGAGGCGGAAGGATTACCTGAACCCAGCAGGTCAAGGCTGTGGTGGCCATGAATGTGCCACTGCACTCCAGCCTGGGCGACAGAGTGAGACTCCTACTCAAAAAAAAAGACAAAATAAAAAAACTGTCTAGGGTCTTTTACCTACACTTGGAATTACTGGATCACAGGATGTACATCCAGCCGGATGAGATAACATCAGATTATTCTCCAAGGTGATATCACTTCTACTCCCAACAGCAATGTATCAGAATTCTTATTCTAATGTATTCAGAGCTTCTTAATTTTGGACTAATGATTTTAAATGGTATTTCACTGTGATCTTGATTTTTACTAACAGATCAGCAGTGAGCTTCTAACATTGTATTTCAGGGTTTATTGGCCTTTCAAGTTGAGTTGTAAGGATTCTTTGTATATTCCAGATGTGGTGAGTGTCTTCATCCACATTGTGACTTGTCGTTGTGATGTCTGTTGAACAAACACTTTATTTTTATTTTTATTTTTTGAGTCGGAGTCTCACTCTCTCACTCAGGCTGGAGTGCAGTGGCATGCTGATGGCCACTGCAGCCTCGACCTGCTGGGCTTAAGTGATCATTCTATCTCAGCCTTCCAAGTAGCTGGAACTATAGGCACATGCCACCATGCTCAGCTAATTTTTTGATTTATTGTAGAGATGAGGTCTCGCTAAGTTGCTCAGGCTGGTTTTGAACCCGTGGACTCAGGCAATCCTCTCACCTCAGCCTCCCAAAGTACAGGGATTATAGGCGTGAGCAACTGTGCCCGGCCTCAAACATTTTAATTTTAATGAAGCTACATTTATCTGCTTTCCCTTGTATGGAACTTTTGTCTTTATAGTCTGCTGAGTAGTTGAGGGGCCCTTCTGGAGAATTCCCAGGTTCATGCTATATGTGAAGATCTCTTTTCCTTTCCAGTATTCTGTCCTGCAAACTCTGGCCACTGCAGTCTCTTCAAACTCAGTCTTTTTCTAAGATGGGTTTTTGCTGTGTTGCCCAGGCTGGTCTCCAACTCCTGGGCTCAAGCATTCCTCTGTCTCAGCCTCCTGAGTAGCTAGAGCTGCATACCCATGCCACTGTGCCTGGTAGTCAGCTCATCTTTGCAACTTAGGGAGTCCTCTGGGTGCCAGAATGTTCTCTGTACTGTGGTTTGGAAACTCAAGGGAGCGAGCTGAGGCCAGTTTAAGGCTCCTCCCATTTGTTTCCTATCTCTCAGGGATGATTCCTTCATTGACTATGACCCACTGTCTTGAAAACTGTTGTTGCAGCTGGCTTGGTTGCTCAGCCTGTATTCCCGTGACTTGGGAGGCCGAGGTAAGTGGATTGCCTGAGCCCGCGGGTTCGAGACCCACCCGGGCAAGTTGGCGAGACCTCATCTCTACAATAAATCAAAAATCAGCTGGGCGTGATAGTGCACACCTGTAATTCTGGCTACTCGTAAGGCTGGGGCGGAAGGATCGCTGGAGCCCAGCAGGTCGAGGCTGCGGTGGCCGGGAGCGGCCACTGCACTCCAGTCTGGGCGACAGAGTGAGATTTCAACTCAAAAAAAAAAAAAAAAGAAAACTGTTGTTGCTTATATCTTGTCCAGTTTTTTGTTTCAGGCAGGAGACTAGATCTGCTCTCTGTTATTCTACCCTGAACAGAAGCAGAAATCTTTCCTGCTTTTTTTGAGTTAGCGTCTCAAAACAAAACGCTCATGTCCACCACAGCCTCTACCTGCTGGACTTAGGCAATCCTTCCGCCTCAGCCTTCCAAGTAACTGGACTATAGGTGTGCGGCACCATGCTCAGCTAATTGTTTGATTTATTATAGAGACAAGATCTTACCAAGTTGCCCAGGCTGGTCTCTCGAACCCCTGGATGCAAGTGATTCTCTTGCCTCTGCCTCCCAAAGTGCTGGAATTACAGACGTGAGCCACCACGCCTGACCCACATCTTTTTTATTTATCCCTGGGTATTTTATGTTTTTTGTTGCTATAGCTAATAATATATTTTTAAGTTATGTTGTTGTTTTTTGTTTTATTTTGTTTTGTTTTCTCTTTTTTTTTCCCAGTTGGAGTCTTACTCTGTCGCCCACAGTGGAGTGCAGTGGCATGCTCCTGGCCACCGCAGCCTTCACCTGCTGGGCTCCGGTGATCCTTCTACCTCAGCCTTCCAAGTAGCTGGAACTACAGGTGCGCGCTACCACGCCCGGCTAATTTTTGATTTATTGTAGAGATGAGGTCTCACCAAATTGCCCAGGCGGATCTCGAACCTGCGGGCTCAGGCAGTCCACTCACCTCGGCCTCCCAAAGCGCGGGATTACAGGCTGCACCACCGAGCCCGGCCTTAAGTTATGTTTTATAACTTGCTGGCATATATAAAGACATCCAGTTCATATTTGTTAATCTTATATCCAGTCACCTTGCCATGCTCTCTTATTTAACAATTTATCTGTAGTCTTTTGAGTTTTCTATGTAGGCAATCATCACTTACAAATAATACACTCTTGTTTCTTCCTTTCTGACTTTCTTTTTTTTTTGAGTAGGAGTCTCACTCTGTTGCCCAGGCGGGAGTGCAGTGGCACGCTCACGGCCACCACAGCCCCTACCTGGTGGGCTCAGAGGATCCTTCCGTCTCAGCCTTCCAAGTAGCTGGAACCATGGGTATGCGACACCATACCCAGCTGATTTGTTATTGTAGGGACGCGGTCTCACCATGTTGCTCAGGCTGGTCTCAAACCCCTGGGCTCAGGCAGTCTTCTTGCCTCCATCTCCCCAAGTGCTGGGATTATAGGGTGAGCCACTGCACCTAGCTGGTAAGTTTCCTTTGATAGATTTTTCTAATGCTAAACTTTGCAGTCTTAGAATAAACCCAAACTGTTCATGGTGTATTTATTTTTTTGAGTTGGAATCTCACTCTGTTGTCCAGGCTGGAGTGCTGTGGCACACTCAGGACCACCCCAGCATTGACCTGCTGGGCTCTGGTAATCCTTCTGCCTCAGCCTTCCAAGTAGCCAGAACTACAGGTGTGTGCTCATTTTTTTTTTTTGGTATTTATTGTAGAGATGAGGTCTTGCCAAGTTGCCCAGATTGGTCTCTAACCCGCAGGCTCAGGCAATCCCCTCGCCTCGACCTGCCAAAGTGCTGGGATTACAGGCGGAGCCACTGAGCCCAGCCTATTTTTATACATTGCCAGACTCGTTTGCTAATACTTTGTTTAGGATTCTTTCTTCCTGTGTTAATGATTCAAAGTAGCCTGGACATTTCTTTTTCACTATGCTTGACTGATTTTGGTGAGAAGCTTTCTCTGGTGTGGTGTGGCAGAGTATGCCTTCTTTTCCTAGTCCCCGGAGGAGTTTGTATGAGGTAGGAATGATTCTCGATTGCACATTTGCTAGAACTTGGAAAAATCGTTTGTCTCTGGTGTTTTCTTTGTGAGAATACTTTTAAAAACTTGATTAATTCCCTTAATATTTATGAGACTAAAAGAAAAAACTTTTTCCAATAGCCACAGAGCCCTTCTGACACCAAATGTGTCAGTTTTCCATACCAAGCAATTCTCCAATTCTCTGTGGACACCAACTGGGTGCCCTGCAGTCTCATTGAATTCTGAGTCTACCCTGAGTCAGTGCAGCCTCCTCAAGTTCAGGGCTCAGTCCCCCAAGACTGGTCCCCACCTCAGATGTCAGTTGCAAGTACTGGGTCTTCAGGTTATACACGCTTCTGTCTGACTTTGGCTGCAAATTGAGGGGCTCCCACAAACCCCTCCTCAGATCCAATAATTTGCTCTAATGGCTTAAAGAGCTCATGGAAATACTTTACTTACATTTATTGACTTATTACAAATGAACAGCCAGGTGAAGAGGTGTGAAGTAGAGAAGGGTCCCAACCAGCTTTTGTACCCATGGAGCTAGGTTGCACCTCCTGGCACATGGATATGTTCACCAACCTGGAAGCTCTGAGTTCAAAACTCCCATTGTTTGAAAGGAGAGATGCCATTACATAGGCAACGTTCATTACATCATTGGCCACTGGCAAGTAGCTCTATCTCCATCCCTCACCTCCCAGGGGCTCACTTGGACACATGCTGGGAAGTAGGAGAGTAGGGCTGAAGTTTCCAGCCCTTTCGTCACATGGTTGGTTTCTCAGGCAACCAGCCCCCATCCTCCAAGAGTCACCTCATTAGCATAAACTCAGATCTGTTTGAAAAGGGCTAATTATATATAACAAAAGATGTTCCCCTCACCCCTGTCACTCAGGCAGTTACTAAGGTTTTGTGAGCTCTATGTCAGAAACCAGGGGCAGAAACCAAATATATATTTCTTATGTCATAGGGACCATTTAGGATTTCTATATGTACATTGCATATATACTCACTCAGTTATAGTTCTTGTTTTGAAAACCCAAATTTGTTCCTACATGACTGCCATAAGAGAGAACGATTAGAGCATAATGTGAATTTCCTGTTACTTATACACCAGTGTTGTCCTTTAGAACCAAAGTGGCTCATACCTGTAATCCTAGCTACTCAGGAGATTAAGGCAGGAGGATCACCTGAGGCCAGGAGTTCAAGACCAGCCTGGGCAACATAGCAAGACCCCCGTCCCTTAAAAATAAAAATTAGTCATGGTAGCTGTTGTGCTGGACCCTCAGTGAGTTTCTTTGGGAGAGCACATTGTCTGAGAGGCTGAAGAAAAAACCTGGAGACAGCAGGCATGAAGTTTAATGGAGGCTTACACAGAGGGCATCCGGGGCAGCATGCTGTACAGCAGAAAAAGCCACTGCCACTTGTGGCGCGTGTGCTGGTTCTGTAGTAACTTTCACAAAGCAACCTCTGCTTAGCCACCTCCACCTAGCACAAAACAAAGGGCCTCGGTTCCTTGCTGTCCAGTGTCCCAAAGAACCTCGGGCTAGGGTCCAGATGTTCCCATATGTATGGCATAAGCATCTCTGGTGTTCCCAGAGTCTATACCTCAGAACACCTCGTCTCTATTAGTAAAAAACAAGTATACAAACAACGAGATTTTACCATGTTTCCCTGGCTGGTCTCAAACTCCTGGGCTCAAGCGATCCTCCTATCTTGGCCTCCCAAAGTGCTGGGATTACAGGTGTGAGCCACTGGGCCTGGCCCCAACATGCTTTTTTTTTTTTTTTTTTTTTTTTTGAGTTGGAGTCTCACTGTCGCCCAGACTGGAGTGCAGTGGCCGCTCCCGGCCACCACAGCCTCAACCTGCTGGGCTCTGGTGATCCTTCCGCCTCAGCCTTCCAAGTAGCCGGAATTACAGGCATGCGCTAACACGCCCGGCTGATTTTTTTTTATTTATTGTAGAGATGAGGTCTTGCCAAGTTGCCCAGGCGGGTCTCGAACCTGTGGGCTCAGGCAATCCGCTCACCTCAGCCTCCCAAAGGCACAGGATTACAGGCTGAGCCACCAAGCCCGGCCCAACATGCTTTTTAAACACTGGCTATCTCCACAAGTGTCAGAAGCATGCCATCTTGGGTTCAAAACCCATTTCCTGCAGGAACTAACCATGAGCAAATTGCTTAATCTCTCTAAGCCTGTTTCTTTCATCTGAGAAAGAATAATAATATCCACCTACTAGGACTGCTGTGAGGAGAGACGGAATAACACCTTTTGGGATGTCTGCCCAACCCATGATGACTACGGCTCTGTGATCTGACCTCTGACCCCCTGAGATGGGCCCCTGTAGCTGTTGTTGTTCTGTATAGCCCTGCTTCCTGCAACTGCATTCCCAAGAAACAGAGGGAACGTAAATTATGGCTCAAGCTCTGATCCTGCCTGCATTGCCCAGGTTTCCACAGGATGACTTAACATGATAACATAGTCGAAACTATCTTGACTTCTATCTTGCCAGCTACTGTCTGCACACGACCAGTGATATCCCAGTGTTAAAAAACTGTTCTCGACTGAGCACAGTGGCTCACACCTGTAATCCCAGCACTTTGGGAGGCTGAGGTGGAAGGATCACTTGAGCCCAGGAGTTTGAGACCAGCCTGGGAAACATAGGGAAACTTTGTCTCTCCAAAAAATTAAAAAACTAACTGGGTGTGGTGATGCGTGCCTGTAGTCCCAGCTACTCGAGAGCCTGAGGTGGAAGGATCACCTGAGCCCAGGAGGTTGAGGCTGTGGTGAGCCATGATTGTGCCACTGCATGAAAGAAAAACTTTTTTCCAGAGCGTATATGTGTCCACTCACAGCAGGGGCCAAGCAGAGCTTCCTGTCAGCCCCTTCCTGAGTCAGGCCAGGCAGAGTAGCTGAGCCCAGCTCTTTAGTGTCCTGTCACCTCAGGAACCAGATGTCAGTGTCTCGAGGGCTGGAGCATTCCAGGTCAGACCCCGCCACCCTCCCACATGAAGCCAGGTCCCCTCTGCCGCTGCCAACATGCCTCATGCTCTGAGGCGCACATCATGTCTGAGCACGTGACACCATTTGCCACTAGACTTTCCTGTCTTCCTCTGGCCACCCTTTCTCAGTCTTCTTCCTTCAATTACCTGGCCTCTGGGCCTCAGAGGTCTCGCACCTAAGAGACAATTGGAGTGGACAGGGCCTAGCCCCAGGCCTTGGACTCGGGAGAGCCTGTCCCATGGAGGGGACAGAGCTGGGGGCTGGGGAGAAGTGTAGGGTCACGTCTGCACCTCCAGGTCCCCAGAGCTGTTGGGGCATCAGGGCCCAGAGTCCCCCAGCCCCTCCCCAAGCCCCACCACACATGAGCCACCCATGGGGCCTGCTGCCGAGCCCCAAGTTGTGTCTCTTCCAGAGGGAAGAAGGACCCCACCTCCTTGGTCTAAGGAAAAGCGAGTCAGGGATGTATGGCTGGGGGACCGAGGCAGGTTCAGTGATGTCAGGGAGGTCCCTGCTCTCTCCTCAGGATTCCTGGAGTTGGGATGAGAGCTCCATCCACAGTCACTGTCTGTAGACTTGGTAAAAGATAAAGCCTTTAATTTGTTTTTTAGAAAATAAACCAGACCAGGTGCAGTGGCTCATGCCTATAATCCCAGCACTTTGGGAGGCCAAGTGAGAGGACTGCCTGAGCCCACAGGTTCGAGACCAGCCTGGGCAACTTGGTGAGACCTCATCTCTACAATAAGTCAAAAAAAATTATCTGGGTGTGGTGGCGCGTGCCTGTAGTTCCAGCTACTTGGAAGGCTTAAGCGGAAGGATCACCTGAGCCCAGCAGGTCAAGGCTGCAGTGGCCGTGAGTGTGCCACTGCACTCCAGCCTGGGTGACAGAGTGAGACTCCAACTCAAAAAGAAAAAGAAAAAAGAACCCCAGCAGACCTTTCCTCCCCAAAGACATGGCCTCTATAAAACTGTAGTTCTTGTGCTTTTAAAAGATCAAGTTTCAGAAACTATTTCCACACAGATAACATTTTATTTTAAGAAAGCCTGGGCAACTTGGCGAGACCTCATCTCTACAATAAATCAAAAAATAAGCGGGGCGTGGTAGCGCACGCCTGTAGTTCCAGCTACTCGGAAGGCTGAGGCGGAAGGATTGCCGGAGCCCAGCAGGTCGAGGCTGCGGTGGCCAGGAGTGGCCACTGCACTCCGGTCTGGGCGACAGAGTGAGACGCCGACTCAAAAAAAAAAAAAAGCAGGACTTATTGAGAGGACAGAAAAGCTCCCACAGTGGGAGGGGACCCGAGGGGGTTGCCCACAGTAACTTTTGTTGGTAAAAATGACCTTCTGTGTCTTGATACCAGTTTCTGTCCACCAATAGAAAATGGCGTCAGTGTGAGGAATGGGCAGGCTGAGGAGCGCTGCCAGCGCCTGGCTTGCTCACTGTCCTCCCCTTCCCACTGCTGTTCCCTCTCCCTGGCGTGCTGGTCTCCCTGGCTGTGTGTCCCTCCAGTTGTACATCCCTGGCATGTCTGTCTGTCCCCACTCTGCTCGTTCATGTGGTGTCTCTCAGCCTCTCTCTGTGTCCCCAGCAGACGTCCGCTGGAGCCTCGGAGTGAACAAGTGACTCTGTCTCCTTCTGTCAGGAGCTTTGCCATCTAAGCAGACTGTTGGGTGTGGAGCTCCAACGGGGTGGACAGACCAGGCTGAGTAGGGAGGGGCTTCCTTCTCCAGAGGCTGGTGCTGCTGGGCCCATTGGGGACACAGGCCTGTCTGAGATAGTCTGAGGTCAGCAGGCAGGAAATGCCAGGTGGGGTCCTGGCGTGCAGGCCAGTCCCTTCAGGAGACGGCACCGAAGACTCCGCATCCCGGGGAAGAAGGTCGCTGCCAGGTAGGGGTGCTGCAGGGCTGAGCAGAGGGACTTCCGGCCTGGGAGCTGCTGGCTCCTGCTGTGTTGGTTCACAGGGGCCCTCTCAAGCTCAAGCGAGGCTGTAGCTGGTCCTCCTGCAGGAGGGGAAGGGAGCCATGGGGAAGGATGGGGGATGGGTCCTGCCACAGAGCCCCCTGGAAGGCTTAGGGCTGCCCCTTGTCTCCCAGCAACCACTCTCCTGTCCTCCCCTCAGACAGGTGCCACCCTGTGTCTCCAAGTTCATCAGGCAAGCCCCCATCATGGAGCGGGCAGCGGCTGGCGATGCCACTTCCTGCCTGTCCAGTGTGGTCCCGTGCCTGGTACACGTGTTCGTGTATGTGCAGGGGTATTTTCAAAAATCCTGAGAAGGGAGCAGGGAGGTGCCTGAGGCATGTCAGCTGGACCAGACATGTTGATGCTGCAGCTGGTGTTCGCTGAGGACCGACTGGGCCTCGGGCTCTGTGCTGGGCCCTCAGGATACAACCGAGTTACAGCCCCAGCCTGGGCAGATCGCCCTGCGCAGTGGGATTGGGAGGGGAAGGACAAGGTCAAGGAGCTGCTCTGCCTGGCTTGTGGGAGGGCAGAGCAGAAGACTGGGTTTCCACTCTGGGGGGGGGGGGGGGGGGGGATGGTGGCGCCATTCACAAGACAAGGACACAGGAGGAGGAGCCAGTGAGGGGAAGAAGATGGGTCCAGTCTAGGGCTCATGGGGTCTGGCCGATGTGCTTGTGGGGTGTCACATGGAGATGTCCAAATGGCAGCAGCATGTGGATCCGCAGCCAGAAGGAAGCCCAGGGTGGGGGGCAGCCTTTGGGGTCACTAGGCATAATAGATGCTTGAGGTCTAGCGAGGAGATGAGGTACCCAGGGGGCTGTAGAGAGCAGAAAGAATAGGGGACCAAGGAGGGAGCCCTCCCACACCACGATCAAAAGAAGGCTAGAGGGTGGCCAGAAGAAAATCCAGAAAATGGTGTCACTGTGCCGAGGAAGGAGTCCCCCAAAGGCAGGACTGCCAAGCTGGGTGACGCTGTGGGGAGCTCTGCAGGGCGGGGTCAGTGCCGGCCTGTGCGCCTCCCTGGGTGTGGGTGGCCCTGCCGTGTGTCCGAGTGTGCCCTCTGCGCAGGGCCTACCTCCGAACGCTCAGCTGGCGGGAGGGGTCCTGGCTTGGCGCCTTCACAGCGGGGCCAACCAGGAGGATGCACAGCCCGGTGATGATCATGCAGGTGGGCACGGCGCCGATGAGGACTTTGAGAGTGACCACCACCTCCTCCGCCTGTTTGCAGGCACCTGCCTTATAGCCCGCGAACCTGGAGAAACACATTCCTTCCAGGGTAGGCCCTAACCGCCCCCCCTTCCTGGCAGGGAGCTCCCGGACACCCCACCACACGCTCCTGGAACTTGGACCTCATTTGCTGGCAGGTCAGCCTCATTGTGGAGGGAGTGTCCAGGGGAGGGGCTGACTGCGATGTTCACCGAGAGCTGGGGCTTCAGAAGGGGCACCGCCCCAGAAAGACCCCTCTCAGTCACATGCCTAGAGACTCCACAGAGCACGGTGTGGGCCCTAGGCCCGTGGAGGCCCTTGCTGGGGGGGTGGAGGCGCTTTCGTGCCTCTGGGCCACCCTGACGCTGGGACTCACTCCAGACTGAGGGTGGAGATGCCCAGGGCGCCTGCCCCTGACAGCTTGGTGAAGAAGACATAGGATGAGTAGAAGATGGTCTCCAGGCCTGGCCCGAGCTGGTGCTGCAGCTGAAAGTCATCCACCACATCCGGCAGCATGGACCTGGTGGGGCGGGTGCATGGGATTAGATCCCTCTAGCCCCTGGACAGCAACCTGCGGGTTCTCTGGAGGACAGAGATCAAGTCGGATTCATCCCTGGGTTCCCACTGCCCAGGACCAGCCTGGCCCCCAGAGAGCCAGGCCATAGGTGAACTCATCCCCCTCGCCTGCCTCATTCCCAAGAGGGCTCCGAGGCTGGGGCTGGCGGCCTCCATGGCCTGCACAGGCCGGGCGCAGGGCCCTGGGGCAGCCAACTTGATGAGAAGTAAGAGACACCTACTATGGAAGTACGCAAAACCCACACCCTTCCCACCCCCTCTCCAGCCTACCAGGGTAGCAGCAAGGACACAGCAATGCTCACGCCAGATACAAAGGCCACGACATATGCCACAGGTGCTGTGGGCACAGCAGCCAGCAGGATTACAGAAGGCACCATCGCCTGGGGAGACAGACACTGGCTGGTCCCTCAGCTGCTCCCCCGGGCCTGCTCTCGTTCACCCACTCATGGCCCTCTGCAGAGAGCCAGGGAACACAGATCCAACATGGCTGGCCCGGGAGGCTCCATGGTCACCGTCCCCGCCTCTCCCCACAGCCACCCCCAGGCCTTGCTTTCTGCTCACAAAGATTCCGAAGGCAGACGTCCTCTTCCCAAATCGCTGCAGAACCCACTCCCATAGCGGGGTGCTCAGCACAGCCGAGATCTGTGGGCAGACAGCATCACTGGGGATGTGCCACCAGGGCCTTCACGCCGACCTCAGCCCTGGCTCTTCGATGGGACGCCCGACCTCAGCCTTGCCCCTGGTTTAGACCCTGGCCCCAACTCCACCCTCTGCTGGCATGCTGGTGACTAAGACCAAAGCAACATCCGAAACGGCCACCAGATGTGTCACACCAAGGACGACACATGTCCCCGGCTCAGACCCCCACATGACCCGGCCTCCGCCGCCCCAGATCCCCTCACCAGGATGGTCAGCACCAGGCTCTGGACGTGGCTGTGCAGCTGGGCGGCGTGTGTGCAGAACAAGACCAGGTAGCTCTGCTCCACCTGAGGAGCAGACGGAAGTGTGTGTGTGCAGGGAAGGCAGCTCAGAAGCCAAGGGCAAGCACGGAGTCTCAAGTCTGGTCTCCCTTCTGGGTACCTTAAACTGGGCTTGCTGCCGCCACTGTGCGGTCCTCCCCAACAAAGGACCCTTATCCCCAACACAGACATAGACGCCACCTGCACAGCTAAGATCAGGTGGACTTGGTACCAAGTCTCAGGTAATAGCCAGACGCTGCCAGCCTCCTGGTTGGTGCCTAGGCCTTTGCCCCCAATCCCACAAGCCCTGCCTAGGTCTCTCTCCTCCCAGCACGAGCCCCTCTGAGTCACGTCCCAGCTAGGAGGTTCTCCCTGTAGAACTTAAGCCCAATTCTAGGGCAGTGGGCCTGAGAGACTGAACCCCAAGCCTCTGGGGTCAGCATGGCTGGAGCCGAGCGAGTGGGAGGTCTGCTGGCCAGAGGTACCTGAACGGCAGCAGAGATGAACAGGAAGGAAACCACCAGCTTCAGGTAGGGCGGATGCCGGGCAGTGAGGCCTAGCCCAGCCAGGAAGCTCAGGCCTGGGCCTGAGGCTGGGGCGGAGGGGTCTGCAACACAGGAAGGTGACCCCTTGGCTTGGCAGATTCTAAGCCAAAACCCACCCCAAGAGGAGCCCTGGCCCAGCTTCTGCTTCCTGTACTCTTGCTTCCCTCCCATACCTGGCCGCTCCTTCACCCCAAGACAGAGCAAGCTGCTGCACACAGGGTAAGTCACAGCAACCACGGCGGCTGCAATGGAGTAGAGACGACTCTGTGGACAGGACAGAATTGGGGTGGGGTGATGTCTCCAGCCGTGGAGGTACCACACCCAGGGGTGGGGCAGGAGCACTTCCCAAAAGAAGCAGAGGGACCCACAGCCCAGTCCAGGGAGGAGGGTTCTCCTCCCATCACCCAGCAGGAGAGAGACCCAGGAGCCCAGGATGGTCCTTCCACACATGTCCCTCTGCTGAGCCTGTGCCTCTTGCTTGGAAGGGGGCATGGGTGCCATGAGGGGTTGGAGCGCTCTCGCCCTCATTTCATGAAGCATTTATTGCTGCTGACTTCTGCAAGCTAGCACCCGAAGTTACGATGCTGAGTAAGTGACCCATCCGTCCACAGCTCAGGGCTCAGGGTGTGAGGAGGAAGACAGAGCCATGCGCAGACAGTTACAGCTAGCAAGATGCACAGTGACCCAGGTATACAGGAAACAGAACAACGTTACCCCTCGTTAAGGGAAGAATACAGAAGTGATGAAATGCATGTAAAGACAAGCACGAGCTGGGTGTGGTGATACACGCCTGTGGTTCCAGCTACTTGGAAGGCTGAGGCAGGAGTGCCTGAGCCCAGCAGGTCGAGGCTGCAGTGGCCTTGAGTGTGCCATTGCACTCCAGCCTAGGCGACAGAGTGAGACTCCAACTCAAAAAAAGAAAAAAAAAAAAGACAAGCACAGTGGGGGCCGGGCACAGTGGTTCACGCCTGTAAATCCCAGCACTTTGGGAGGCCGAGGAGGGAGGATTGCTTGAGACCAGGAGTTCAAGACCAGCCTGTGCAACATAGCAAGACCCTCACCTCTACCAAAAATAAAACAAAGGACATGCACCGACTGACAGCCAGTTCAGGATAGAGGCTGCCTCTAGCGAGGGGAAAAAAAGAGGGAGCGTCACAGGTGTGAGGCTCTGCTCAGAAGTGGGCTGCACCTGGGGCCTAGTGCACTGCTGTTGTGGTCCTGCAATTCCGGATCCCCTTCTCTGGGAATCTGTGCCTTGTAGGTGAAGTTTGACAGGACGACAGGTTATCAGTCCTGGGAGCTCCCCGCCTCAGCTCCCACAGACTCTCCCCCACCATGGGTACTCAGCCTCCTGCTCCCTGCTCCTTGGCACCCTCCCCTCCCCAACCCAAGGCCACCACCACCTCTGCTCCACCCCTACCCTCCCAGTGCCCGGGCAGGAGGCCTGAATGGGGACCTGGGCATGGGTGCAAGGAGGGCTGGTCCAGGGAGCAAGGCCGTAGCTTTCTGGCCCTAGGTGCCTTCTGGCCTCTCACCCATCCCAACCAGATGCCCAGAGGGTCCAGCACTGGAGGCTACGATCCCTTGGCTGGCGCTGAGGACACCGAGGCCCCGTGTTTTCATTTTGCACTGTATGCAGGTGAGGTGTGTAGCCGGCCCTCAGATGGGCTGGGGAGGTGTGGGTGGGCTTTCACTTTTTTCTTTTTTGGGGGGGGGTTGGAGTCTCACTCTGTCACCCAGACTGGAATGCAGTGGCCGCTCCCGGCCACCGCAGCCTCGACCTGCTGGGCTCCGG